CTCCGAGGTCAATGACTTCTGTCTCTCCAAGATATCTATACATAACAGCAAACAGGAAAGGTCCTGGCTTGAACCAGGGCCTACCAGTAATGGCCAAACTCTAATACATTGCACACGTTTCCTCATAAGCTTACGTTCTAGTTATCATGCGATTTTAACTGACTGGAAATCAAAGAAATCGGTATTATTCTGACAGGCTTGCAGGTCATTCATTGAATCAATCCATGTATTGAACAATCTAGTCCCAGACCTCTGACAAGTGGAACTGGGAACCCTTGAAGTAATAAAACTGTACACTTAAAATGCAGAGGTCAACACTATATCTATAGACAAACATTATTATTGCATATATTCACCATCAAAAACAAAAGCAAACTGCATTGATATAATGCTCTTCTTGTAGGATAATAGCTCGGAGCACTTTATAGGCAGGTTTCAGATGGTGAACAAGGGAGGACGGGGAGGAGGGCGGTGACCATAGCACAGTCAGTGACGTATGTTTTAAGGTAGAATTTAAAAGACAGAGGACTCGAGAGAGAAGGGGAGGTGGAGGGATGGCAGCATAGATTCTAAGGCTCAGCCATTTATGGCAGCATGGTGTGTGTGCGTAGGGGGTGTGGGAGTGCATTAAGACTGAGTTAACAAAGCAGAGGGGGCAAGCAGTTTATTGGGCTGGAGAATATCACAGAGATGAAGATGGTGCTAAGGCTGGAAGGGATTTATAGGTAAAGGTGGAGGTCTTGAATTTGCCCCAATGGGATCAGAGAGCTTGACGAGGATGGTCTGTGGAGTTTGGTGTGGCTGAGTATCCAGACAGCAAAGTTTTGTACTACCTTTTGATAGAATTGATATATTTCTCCAAAACATTGCTGTAAGAACAATCCTCCAGGTAAAATTGGTCATTAACTTTTTGGCTGTGTGCAAAATGACTACTGTGTCCCCCACAAATATGCAATCACTACACTCACTTCGCAGTAAAAGTTTTGTGAAACATTTCGAGACATCGCGACACGATAAGGTGCAATATCCAACAAAAGGAATATTTACTATTATAAAATGGCGTTGAGCAGTTCTGAGGCAAGTTCTCAGCATAGATGCGTTCACAACACAAAAGTATCCTCAATTCAGCATTAATTGGCAGTCCCACTCAAAGCACAGGAACGCTAATGTGAAAAGTAGGAAATGTCACCCCGAGCCAATAGTGGGTACTCTTTGAGGTTAGAGAGGAAACACATTGTTGGGGGCAGAGCAGAGGAGCTTTACTCTGCATCTAATCATTGCTGTGTCTGACCGGGGAGTGTATTATACAGTCACTGCCCCAAAAGGGAAAGCGCTTCATTTCCCGGCACTAACATCGCTAGGCTTTGATCCTATCAACATTTTCTAGTGTGGAACAAAAGTTTAATTAAAAACAGTCAATTGTTCTAATCTGCAAAATATACTGTGAAATGTTCATGTTAAGTTGTTAACTTATTTATGAAACTCCTGTAAGAGAAACTGTAAACAACACACACAGTAAATACTTCTGTTTGAACTGATCTCCTGCTGATTTCCAGCTGCCTTTGAGCAGAAATTACAATTGCAGAGTAGGAAACAAGGGATTTAAATATCTCTTCCTTTACAAAACAAAATTAAAAGGTGGGACCGTTTTGGGATAGAGAAGAGTTAGACGCCTGACAGGAATTAAAAGCTACAAACTTCACACATTATTATATACAGTGACAATCCTGTGAAGTGTTTTGAGATGTCTAGTTTGTGCAAAATAACTGAATTTTCCTGGACAATGGATAAACAGCAATTCATCAAAGTTGTCCCAATATTTCTGAAAAATTGTCCAGTAACACTAAATGTATTTTTTTTAAAAATCAATGTCATGCCTTTTTTTAAAAAAACTCATTCGCAGGCACACTTTGTATTTCTTTCGAGAAATATTTTATCAAATTAAAACTCCCAATTATTTGACTTTTGGGTTTTAAATTCGGTATCTACTCTAGTGCACTAGAGCACATTGAAAGCTCACAGATGTGTTGATGCACAGATAAAAACATATACCAAACTGTACTCAAACATGATTTCCTAAGAGGTTGAGACTTATCATAAATAATATACACCTTGCAGTTGATATAGTGCCTGATTTACACGATTAATGTCCATTGCTCACATGCTGGCCATGTGGAATGCTTGGAACTTTAGTTTACCTACTAACAAGTGTTCATAATACACCAGTCCACTGAAGTCACAACATCTGCAAGAATTTTGTTTTTAAGAACTTGAGCACTCGTAAGAGTTTTCATCGAGGGATGATTTCATTGCTATTCAAGGAGTGCATATTATTTTTACTAGATTTTGAAAAATCCCAAAGAATTATTTTGTACTATTTTGTACTATTTTGTACAGAATGCAATTTTTTTTAAAAAGTCTGGCAATTTTTAATACATATTAGTCAAAAGTTATTATAGCTCGAAGACTTATTGCTTGATAGAGGTGCACATTATTGTGGAAAGGGATATTGACTCTGTTTACAATCCAGCCACTTCCATTGAATTATATAATCCTGGAATTCAGATTGCTTCAAAATGCTGAAAAAGACATTTGTGTTCAATTTGAGTAAATAATTCATGAAAAACAGTCAATGAATGGGGAGCTAACCTGATTAATACTATAAAATAAATAACCTCACAATTCCAATGTTTTTAAGGATTACTTTATAATGAGTTCAAAGACTGTTTGGATTCTGCAGTCCATAGCACATGGTACATTAATTAACATCTGAATTAAATTATGTGTACTGTTAACATATGCAATCAAAGCTAAATTTGGGCAGAAACTTTAAAACGTCAGTGTAAAGCAAGTTACATCAGAAGTGCAACAAGGATCCAACATGTTCTGTCCATTCAAATAACTGAAAACAGATCCACTAAGCCCCAAAAATTACAACCAAACTGTCATAATTAATAGTCAATTGCAGCTTCAGAGTACTGTAATTCCACCACAAAATTCAGTCGACTCCTCTCACCATTATCCCATTTCACCAGATACATTCACAGATGAAGAAATTGAATGGGGTCGCAAGTGATTGCCTGTCAAGTAGCTTTCCAACAACTTCTGATCAATTTGTCAACTTAAGCTCACAAAATTGTGTTCCATACACAAATGGGCAACTGCAACAAATTGGAACAAGTAACAAATCTGAATTTCAACCAACAGTACTGTCGACAGCACCCTTCACAAACCTGAATAGATCTTCTGCAGCCCAGTTCTTCCAGAAAACAATTTTAACATTGAACACTAGACTCTAAACTAGAGGTTGTGTTAACTGTACGTGCAATGCAAAACACATTTTAAGATATGTTATAACATCCAGATTTGTTGCATCTAGATTTAATTCCAATGTAGGCTGCGTGGGCTAGATATTGTTAAACAGTACTGAGTATCTCTATCAATGTTGTTTGTCAAAACAAACGATTATTTTTCTATCTTGATCCTTGATTACAGGCATGTAAACTAAAACAACAGGGGGAAACCGCCCTATTCTACTCTCGATCAATTCAAATCATTATCTTATGTGAGACTTTGTTTCCAGGTCTACAAAATACTTCTACGTGACAACATTTTCCACACACGATAAAGAAAGAAAAGCACGACACGACATTAATGGGAAGCCTGGTCAACGTTATCAGAGAAGCTGAATGAATCGGTCCGATTTCAATGCCCGACCCCTCTCCACACGTTGTTTGTAATGTTTTGGAAACTGAGCAGATCATTTCACAAACCGAGGCAATTTTCACGGCCCCCAGGAGAACACGCGACAAGTCGGCCAGCCCAACCGCTCCGTGTTTTACCAATTCTCTCTGTTACACGAATCATCATGTCAAAGGGCAGCGTAATCGGCTCAAGGTGCTGAAAATTCGCCCAAACATTTTTTTTTTTTTTACACGCAAAAAACAAGCGGACTCTTGTAAAAAGACATGATGGAAATACAACTCAAAAAAAGACGAAAACGTTTCAAATGATTAAAAAAGGAAAACAGCCCCAAACTTACCCAAAACGACTACTAAATCCTGCCTGGGACTGGCAATCCAGCTATGAACTTTTACCAGTCAATTTTTTTTTCTCTCTCCACTCCCCCACATACACACACACACACACACAACACACAACAAACACACACCCTCCCCCCCCCCCAAAAAAAAAAATACTTTCAACCATTCACTGTCTCTCCTCCTCAATCAGAAAGAAAAATCCTTCAGAAAAAGGTGCTGGTTCTGGTGGTGGTGGTGGTGGTGGTGGAAGAGGAGGAGGAGGAGGAGGAATGGAGTATTAAAAAAAAATGATAAAACATTGCCAGAATATTTCCGGGTTACAACAAGAGCAACGACGTTATGCCCAGAGATTCATCGCAGCAGAAATAAACATTATTTTTAAAAAAAAATTATAGATAAGAGAGAGAGAGAGATACACACACACACACACACTGTTTGGGTAATATTTTTGTCGAAAAAAAAAAATAACTAGAGCAGGGGGGAGGGAGGGGGGGGGGTGGTGGTGGGGAAGGAAAGAGAGAGAAAAAACACTAAAAGAATTATTGACGCTTTTTTCTCTCTCTCTCTATATAATAATAATAAATAATATATATATATACACAGAGAGAGAGAGAGAGAGAGAGACACAGGTCGACTAGAAGGAAGCAGCTCAGTGGCTGTCACGACCGAGAGGGGTCTGTTTAAGAGAAATATCCTTGTGTGTGTGTGTGTGTGTGTGTGTGTCCCTCACCCCCACAGACACAGACAGAGACACATATACACACAGACACACACATACATCACATCACATCCACACGGATTCCTCTACCAACCGAGAGACAGAGACATTCATTCGGGCAGCAGAGGAGGGGAGGGAGGGAGTGAGGGGGGAGTGAGGGGGGGAGTGTGGAGGTGGTGGAGGAGGAGGAGGTGGAGGAGGAGGGGAGAAGCAGAAGAAATGTTGCTATTTTTACTCACCACTCAGTGGATACAGTATCGGCCGCGAAATGAATAATTGTTACCCCCTCCAAAAAAAAAGGAGATTCAAGGTTTCTATTTTTAGGAAACTCCTACATACAGACCTCCCCCTCTCCTCTCACAACAGCGGCCCCTTTCATCCCTCCGCCAATACAGGAAACGGGTGGGTGGGAGGGAAGAGAGGAAGGAGAGAGGAGAGAGAGAGAGAGAGGGAGGGAGGAGAGGAGAGAGTGAGTGAGTGAGTGAGTGTGAGAGAGAGAGGAGGGAAGGGAGAGAGGATGAAAGAAAGAAAGAAAGAGAGAGAGAAAGAGAGAGAGAGAGGAAGAAAGAAAGAAGGAATCAATGACCCCCCCTCCCCCCCAAAAAAAAAACCCTAAAATAATCCGAGATTTATTTCATGAAAAAGGTCATTTTTTTTCCCATTTTTTTTTCTTTCAACCTCACCGACCCATCGCTCTCTCCCTTCTCTCTCTCCCTCTCCTCTCTCTCTCTCTCCCTTTCTCCCCCTCTCTCGTTCGCTCACACAAACGCACACACTCTTTTCCCTGTCACACTCTTTTCTTTTTCTCTCCTTTTTCTCTCTCTCTCTCTCTTTTTTCTCTCTCTCTCTCCTTTTTCTCTCTCACTCTCTTTCCTCCTCCTCCTCCTCCTCTCTCGCTTTCCAGTGTGTGTGTGTGTGTGTGTGTGGAACAATTCCTCTTCGCAGGAATTTTTTTTGGAGCCGAGGATCTACTTTTTTTTCCCCTCCTCAACCCCCTCTCTCCCTCCCTCCTCCCAACAAGAAGCCCCACCACCCCGGCGCAAGGATATACACCACAGCCCCTGTCAATTGACGTCAAGCCCAAGAGCCATCTCTGATGGGAGTTGAGTGGCTGACGGTGAGGGCCGCCTCCCTCCGCCCTGTCTCCCCCCCCCCACACCCCCACACCCCCTGTAGCCTTACCCTAGACTTCAGGGGTGGGGGTTGTACCCCCTGTTTGACCCCCCACTCTCCAGGAGGAGGAGGGGAACTGGATGGGGCCCCCAATGGGTTAAATTCCCCCCCCCCCCTTCCTCCTCCAATTGACGTCATTGGGGCCGAGGAGCCGAGAGGCCGCACTGAGCCGACGGGGGGGTGTGGGGGGGGGGCAGGTCCTCTGTTGGCAGCGGGGGAACAGCCCCCTCTCCCCCCCCCCCCCCCATCCTCTCCTCACCCCCATTCTCATCCCCCATCTCTCCTCGCCTCCCCCCCCCCCGGCGCCCCCCCCCCCCTCTCCAATTGGAGGTTGGGGTGGTCTTTAGCTCTGGTCCTACGCGCCCTCGCTCCGGCCTCCTGCTGCTTCCTGAGGGTGGGGTGAGGGGTAGGGGGTGAGGGGTAGGGGGTGAGGGGTAGGGGACGAGGGTGGGGTTGAGGGGTAGGGGACGAGGGTGGGGTTGAGGGGTAGGGATGAGGGTGGGGTTGGGGGGTAGGGATGAGGGTGGGGTTGGGGGGTAGGGATGAGGGTGGGGTTGGGGGGTAGGGATGAGGGTGGGGTTGGGGGGTAGGGGTGAGGGTGGGGTTGGGGGGTAGGGATGAGGGTGGGGTTGGGGGGTAGGGGTGAGGGTGGGGTTGAGGGGATGAGGGTGGGGTTGGGGGGTAGGGATGAGGGTGGGGTTGAGGGGATGAGGGTGGGGTTGGGGGGTAGGGGTGAGGGTGGGGTTGAGGGGATGAGGGTGGGGTTGGGGGGTAGGGATCAGGGTGGGGTTGGCCAGAGAAGGACTTGTTTGTCCACAGAAAAGGGACGCTTCATCAATTCACGTTGAGAATTGGTTCGGTCTTTGCAATGAAATCTTATTACCCCCCCACACCCCCCCCCCCCACACGCTCATTATCAGGGCTGCTTGTAAAATGTCGCCTGGAGGAGGTAATATATATAATAAATCTCCCTACCCCCACAAAAGGTAATAATTAGCTTTCTCTGTGGTCAGTGAGGGCTATTTATTGGTCTCTGCCCATCCCGCAGTCCCTCCGTCTCGGCCCCTCCCTCGCCACCTTCAAGACCCACCTCAAGATCCTCTTCGACCGCGCTTTCGATCCCCCTGCTTCGCTCCCCCCGCCCTCCCTAACCCCGACTCTCAGCTCGGGTCCGAAACTCCAGTGCCTTGGGACGTCCTCCCGACATGAAAGGGCGCTTTATAAATGTAGTTTGGTGGTTGTTGTTGAAATCAGAAACACGTTGTTGCTGGTAAACAAGGGATGCTATCAAGCTCAGGTTGATGTTCAGGGCTATTACCTGTTCTTAATATTTTTACGTATTGTGTATAAAATGTGAATACTGTAAAACACGCTTGCGGGCGCCAATTGATCTCGCACATTATCGTCTTGGCGTCCGATCTGTTAAGTTTCCACTGAATACAAGCCGTCTGGTTTCGGTTGTTCCCCCCTTTCTTTCTGCCCAAAAAATGTGTGGTCTCGAAAGTTGTAAATATCTGTTCTGGATGAATGTTGCTGTATTTCCTTTCCTCTCTCCCCCCCCCCCCCCAACTCAGTTACACGAAAAGCACTAAACCTCAACCTGAGCTTGGCAACGTCAGTTGTTTACCAGCAATGCGATATTTATGAGTTCAGAGAGGAATTAAAAGCCCTTTTAACTATAGAGAGAGCAGGACACAACAGCTAGTTTTTATCTTATTTGACCTCAACAAAGCAAATCTTGCATTCTGCAGAGTTAGACTTTACCAAGTGTGAAGCACACGGATAACTTGACAATTGCGTTAAAGCTTTAGGCCTTGGCTTTGATTTTAATTTTCCAAACCTCTTAGAAATAATCAATTTCCCTGTTTTTTTTTTGATGTGGCAGAAACCTACAAGCAGACTGGATGATAATTGGAAAAGTTAGTCATGAAGTGTTTTCTAAATGTTAAGGTTATCTGTGCAACTAGTTTGGGGATTCTTTTTTCAGTGCAGAAAAGGGCCTGTCGTGCATTTGTGATCTACTGAATTAGATTTGAATCAACAAGTCTCCCTTTTCTTCCTGGTTATCACTCAAACAGCACCGAATTGTTAATTTTTCAGATATAAATATATATAGATAGATATAATTCACACAAAGACACATAACCACTGATGTCCAACATTGACCACCCGGCACTGGCGAACAAACCTAAAAGTAAAATTATACCCAGAAACGTAACGATCATCTTAGCTGTAAAAACAATGGATCTGAGGAATGATATAACCTTGTATTGGATTCAGATGAAGTTGACATTTTCACTTTTGTAATAATAAATAACCTTTGAACTCCTTGATGAAATAAATACCTTGTTAAAATTAAGCCAGCTACTTATTTTCATTTATTTGAAGTCACAGAGGCAAATGTTCACTACTCTAACATTAAACACTTTATAAAAAATGTATTTGGGGCTGATTTGAAGTGAGAGTCGAAACAAAAACTTAATACATGACAAATAGCTGTTGAAATTGATGGATCCTGAATAAAGTACAGTACCAACCAAACCAGCATTTCTTGTTTTGTCTTATCACCATTGTTGGATGTCACCAGACTCAGCCCTTATTTGTTCCACTCAGTCGTTGGCAAATTGCCTTATAAAACTTCAGATTGGAACAAACAGTGAGATAGCTTTGACTGATTTGGGAGCAACTGCATAATATACCAGGTAAAATGTTCAATAGCATTTCAAGCATATTTCAAACTTATGATACCTCTTTAGGTACAAATTTAAGTTGGTGCTTTCTACAAAACTGACAATATAGTTGAATCCCATATCAACGTTAGTTAATGCCGTCTAATGTTATGTAAATTGTTAGTTGCAGGTAAAATAGTTTGTCGATTTGGACACATTCTGCGTCAACTTTAATAATAATAATCCTTGCATTGGTATAGCACCTTATCACGGCATTCAGACGTCTCAAAGCGTCTCACAGAATATACTTTGAAGTGAATTGATTGTATATTTTGTCGGCGAAACATTGCAGTCAATTGCAAATTAAACCCTAATTTATTCATGAGTGAAATATATTCGTTGTGAATATTATGTCTTTTTTAAAGCGGGACACTGCTGTGTGCAATTGGCTGCCACATTTCACCCACAATATACACAGTCAATCCACTTTACAGTATATTTTGTGAAGCGCTTTGAGACATCTCAACAATGTGATAAGGTGCTATATCAAATGCAAAGATTTTATTTACTATTATAATATATTATTAATATTTGTATTGATTTTGCCAAATTTGTACAGTTTAAGCCAATGGAAGAGCAACAAAGAAATGATTGTACTTGTGAAAATTCATAAATTCATTTTCAAGGTGTGGGCAGATCTTTGCTAATGTCTAGACAGATCTGGTGAGGCTGGAGGTGCAGAAACTCATATTGTTGAGCTGCAGAGAATTGATCCTGACAATGGTGTCCATCACTGCCAGAGACAGTAGTGCTCTGCATCTTAAACAACAGCAGCGCAACAAAATTACATTTATACAGCACCTTTAATGTCAGAAGGACGTCCCAAGATGCTGAAATTATAAATGTAGCATTATGGTTCAATCGCACAACATCCCAGACAGATGATTCTATTTTTTCCTTGGCATACATCCAAAAGCTTTTCACCAATTAACATTATCCGCAAAACCACATCTACTTAAACTTGTCCTTGCATTGCTATTTTAGTTTTGTTTTCAAGCAATAATGGTTCACGTGTAATATTTATAAATACAATTCACACCAGCCAAATTTAACAGTGGAGATTTACAAAATTATCAGGGACTAGCCGGGGAAACATTTACGGATAATTTTATATCTTAAACCAGACGTTGTTAAGGCAAAGAGGATTTTGTTTGTGCCTCAGATTGTAAAAAGTTTTATTTGTATTAGTTTCCACATAAAAACTTTGTTGTGAAAGCGTTTTAAGCAAACTAACAGAGGGGGTGTGTACTCCCTTGAAAACTGAGCACTTGTTGTAATCAATAAGTGTCTCAAGTGTGGCAGGGGCTCCATAAACAAATGGTGCCTGTAACAGATTATAAATCATTATCGGGGTCTTTCGGAAACTTAGGGTAATTATTCCATAAAGTGAAGTCTGTTAAGCCACAAAGCTACACACATTATAAATTGTATGAAATTGGATTTTAAAGTGTTTTCTTTATGCTCTTGGAGGTGGAACAAAAAGTAAGGGTCCATTCAGACT